GACTTCACCCCCGAGGTGCACTCCATTGTCTCTTGAAACAGATGGATGCCAACAAAAATTATTGTGTAAGAAGTACGTATACATAAATCTGATAATACCTTTTCTCCATCTATGTTCCTGGTTTATTCTGTGGATTCATTCTAATTTTGCTGGAAGGCCCTCTCCAAATTTCCACCCATCTTTAATACGTCAACATGCATGAAGGTTGATTACAACTTAGTTTCGGCAGTTTGAGAATAGACCTCACGAGTGTGACATGGTCTGTTTGGTCTCTGAATGAAATAATTCATAAAACCAGGACCATTTCATGCTTCTTTTCACCCCCCATTTGCAATAATTGAGAGTGGCTTCAATGAGAAGGTTGCTTAAAGGCACCACATTATATGCCATTCTGTAACCAAACCTTAAGTTCTCGTAAAGTTCTCTTTTTTTGGTAGAGGGTGTACGGTAGAGGAAATCTCATTTTCATAGCCTTTTGCTCCATCAATAGGAGTCTTTATGGGTAAAAGCATCAGTAGGCTTGTGGTATGTCTTATTGGTATTCTGTGGAAAGTTTTAGGACATGCCTACAGCAAGCCTAGGGACGCGGGTGGCGCTGTGGGTAAAAGCCTCAGCGCCTAGGGCTTGCCGATCGAAAGGTCGGCGGTTCGAATCCCTGCGGCGGGGTGCGCTCCCGTTGCTCGGTCCCAGCGCCTGCCAATCTAGCAGTTCGAAAGCACCCCCGGGTGCAAGTAGATAAATAGGGACTGCTTACTGGCGGGAAAGTAAACGGCGTTTCCGTGTGCTGCGCTGGCTCGCCAGAGCAGCGATGTCACGCTGGCCACGTGACCCGGAAGTGTCTCCGGACAGCGCTGGCTCCCGGCCTCTTGAGTGAGATGGGCGCACAACCCTAGAGTCTGTCAAGACTGGCCCGTACGGGCAGGGGTACCTTTACCTTTTTACAGCAAGCCTACAAAACAAGAAATATAGCAAAGGCTACGAAAGTCTACAAAATGTTTAACGTTCTGAATGACCAACTGAAACTCACTGGATTTGCTTGTTTGCCTCATTCCCCTTACCAGTATAGCATGAATCTCCAAACTCTGGGTGTTTCCACACAGGGGAGTTTAATGTGGAATTGCCACTCTTTGTTCACTCGCTTTTTAGAGAGCACCCCCACAATGCCATCATCCAATCAATGTCAACTTGTATTCTTAAAAACTAGGTTGTGCTTTTTTAAACAAAAACAAACCACAAATAGTCGTGGCAATGTGGAGAACTGATTTGAAAGATGGGGAAAACGAGACGCAGATATAAACTGAAATTGACGGATTTCCCCATCCCCAGTCTTCACACAAATTATCCCAGAGGGATAGGGCCAGATGCACCTCAGTTGGGAGGGAGTTCCACACATGAGGAGCCACCACTAAAAAGTCCCTTTCCTGGTACCCACATCATGTATCTCGTGCAGAGGAGGGACTACCAATCTATGCCCTCAACTGAGCAGCCAAATCTTGAGCAGCACTATATACATGAACTGTTGCTAGCTAAAACTAAGCAAGAATGCTTTCGATTTGGTGGCTGAAATGGCTCCCTTTCTGAAGTACCAAAGAGCTTTTTGTGCAATCCACTCACACAGACTATCATAGGGCAGGTGCTACATTATGAGGTTCTATTGAAGAGCAGCAAAATGTCAATTTTAAATTTTTTAAATAATAATAGTTTTATTACTACCATGGATTGTGTGCCTCAGATACACACAAAGTCAAGCACTTTTCAGTCTTACTGACTGAAAGAGGAATTCAAGAAAGTTGTGACCACTGTGACAAGTCAGTGGAAAAGTGCTTATCTTTGGCATACTATGCCTATAATCTGTTGCCAGGGCAGGAACTCAATGACACGCAATCTAATTTACGCACAGAAAGATGGGTTTAAGATGTGCTTTTCTGAAGCGTACATTTTACTAATTTTAAATATACACGCAGTGTGCTGAAAAGCAAACTCAATTATGGTTCCATTTCAGGCCACATCAGTCTGGGGAGATACGGCAAGCCTCATCTTTTGATCAGCCTGCATCGTGCGATTTTGCAGAACGCTCATGGACGTCATCTACGCAGGCCCGTGCTCATGTTTCTCACATGTGTCTGCAGCCCATGCTCACATGTTTAGTCAAAGGTAACACAAAGCAGAGCACCTCCACTACATTTCAGGCCAAAAAGCATCAAGCCAAGGACTGATTCAACCTCCTGTGCCCCTTTGTTTGCGGATCACTGATGACACTGTCATAGGATGATAGGAAGGTGTTGTGTTGGCAGAGTAGCTAAATCACAGCTAGGAAGCCCAATCTTCTGCAATACTAACTCTTTTCTTGAAATTAAAACAATGTCCAAACATTTGTTCAAAAGCTTTTACTTGAAGAACATATAGCTAAAGGAAGGTTACCAGATTTTTTTCAAAGAGTCGGGGGACACTTTTTTTTTAATAGAGAAAAAAAAATTATATACATATTTTAAAAAGAAGTAATATCTTTTCTTCTGTGGTCTCCTCTGTCGCGCGGCCTTCCTCTGGGCCCCAGCCTGCTCTCTTGGAACACCTTGAGTCAGGCCTGGGCTCGGCCACATGTCCGTGCCATCCCAGTGCCCTCTCCTCTTCAGTGGCGGTGGTGGCAGTGGTGTGGCAAGGTCAAGGCTCCCCTCTTTTTTATCCTTCCTCCTTCTCCTTCTCTCCTCCTCCTCCCTGCGTCGGCTCTGGGGTTTTCCTGGCCCCGGAGCACTGCTGGGCAGTCGGCCAGGTGGCCAGGCACTCTTGCTCCCGGCTCGATTTGGGTCGTGGGGTTGGGGTCATCGGTTCCCCCAGTTGATGTGCCAGGCACCCCCGGTTCCCCCTCGGCAGTGGCAGTCTCAGCAGCCTGGAGCCAACCTGGTAGCGCAGTTGGCTCTGGCTGACTTCAGGAGCTGCCGTGGCGCCCGCCATTTTGCCTCACCGTAAGTCCCCATATAGGGACGTGGGTGGCATTGTGGGTTAAACCCCCGACCTTCTGATTGGCAAGTCCTAGGCTCTGGACTTGTCAATCAGAAGGTCGGCGGTTCGAATCCCCGCTACGGGGTGAGCTCCCATTGCTCAGTCCCTGCTCCTGACAACCTAGCAGTTCAAAACCACAAAGTGCAAGTAGATAAATAGGTCTGGCGGGAAGGTAAACGGCGTTTCTGTGCGCTGCTCTGGTTCGCCAGAAGCAGCTTAGTCATGCTGGCCACATGACCCGGAAGTTGTATGTTGGCTCCCTCGGCCAATAAAGCGAGATGAGCGCCGCAACCCCAGAGTCATTCATGACTGGGCCTAATGGTCAGGAGTCCCTTTACCTTTACCTTTAAGTCCCCATATGATGTGTCTTGTGTCATTGAACTAATCACACAACATTCATTCCCTATTAATAAATCCATAACACTTAAAATATAAATCCGGAGACATTAAATGAAATCTAGGGACATTCCCTGGATGGATTTTGTCCGGGGATAGATTTGTAAATCTGGGGACTGTCCCCAGGAAATGGGGACGTCTGGTAACCATAAGCTAAAGACAAAGTAAGCAAAGTATTTACATTCACATGCTTATACAAGCATGGGCTTTTTCTTTTCTTTTCTTAATTGAAGATTATAGCTTCTACCTTCGAACTGGAACTTAATTTGAATGTTCCCTTTTTAGGGAGTGGAGTGTCCTTCTGCCATTTTAATGGATGTTCCGGTCAAGGATGCTTTTATGGGATTCCACATTCCAGTATCAGGATGGGCCACTGCAATTTGGAAAGCATGAAACACAGGGTGAATTCAGCCTAGTTCAGCACAAGGTTCTTAAATCCTCTGGAACACTTTTCATATGGTCTCAGACCACAAGAGTGTCAGCTGCTGCAATAACTTTTCAAACATATTGTTGTGAGTTTGTCTGTGTTTGCGGGGTAGGTCTGCATGACGCTTGGGTCCCTTCTAATTCCTAGGATCCTGGATCCAGCCAGGGTGAAAATCCAATGGAGGATTCTCTTGGTGAGCTAGCTAGGCAACTCTTTGGTGAGTCAAAGGTCCTAAGTACTGTGGTTAGCATAACAAAAGAAGTTGCTCTGTGCCAGAAGGCAAATGGGGGAGCCCCTCCCTCAACTAGCTCACCCCCGTCGCGGGGATTTGAACCGCCGACCTTCTGATCGGCAAGCCCTAGGCTCTGTGGTTTAGACAGGAGTTAAAAAGTAAAGGAACCCCTGACCTTTAGGTCCATTCGCGGATGACTCTGGGGTTGCAGTGCCCATCTTGCTCTAGAGGCTGAGGGAGCCGGCGTTTGTCTGCAGACAGCTTCCGGGTCATGTGGTCAGCATGACTAAGCCGCTTCTGGCGAACCAGAGCAGCGCACGGAAACGCCGCTTACCTTCCCGCTGGAGCAGTACCTGTTTATCTATTTGCACTTTGACGTGCTTTCGAACTGCTAGGTTGGCAGGAGCTGGGACCGAGCAATGGGAGCTCACGGGGATTTGAACTGCCGACCTTCTGATCAGCAAGCCCAAGAGGCTCAGTGGTTTAACCCACAGCGCCACCTGCATCCCTTCAACTAGCTGTTAGAAGGACAATAATTGAGGGCAGTGGTGTGTGAGAGCTGGAAACAGGCTGTAGGCAGATGCCAGAAAGCAAGAGCCCTCCTTTGCACAGCTTGTCAATATCTTTCTTAAATTGTGGTACCCAGAATTGGACACAGGGATCCTGGTGTGTTCCGACCAAGGCAGAATAGAGCAGGAATGAGGAAGTTGGCATTCTCTGGTTGCCCTTTGGAATACAACTCCCACCATCCAATTAGTTGAGATCATAGGAGCCAATTCCTAGGGGCTGAGATCCCTTTGCTCCCCCAATAAAATGTTTGAGTGTGTGTGTGTGTGTCCCTAAAGTTGACGGGCATTTCCATTCAAATGGTGTGTGTGCACCGTGTCTTGTGATCAATTATGTGGGGCTTACCTCCCCACCCCCATATTTTATTCAAATTGGCCACACTGTCTGAGACTGATGGGAGTTGGAGTCCAATAGAACTTGGAGGCCCGCAGCTTCGCCGTCTCTGCTTCTGGGGCGAGGCAGTAGCTGAGTGATTGGAGAAGGTCCATAGCTGAGCATCTGGAAAAGGCAGGACTCAGGGAGACGGAGCTCGGAGGGAGGAATACTGCCACGGTGGCGGAGAGGGAAGCGGACCCGATTCCTGCATCGCAGGGGGTTGGACTGAATGACCCTCGGTGCCCTTTCCAACTCTACCATTTTACGATCGTATACGCAAAGGCGGCGAGTTTGCTGTTGCCGTTCGTTGCGCGCATTAGCCGCGTGCAGCGTGCATAATACTCGTGTCCCGAGCTTGTTTCCTGCGATTACAAGCGAGGAAGAGGAGGGACGGCAGGTGACAAAGGGCGCCTCAGTGCAGCTTGCCCAGCTGACAGTCCCAAGACGTCGCCTTCTGACAGAGGAGAGGAGGGCTGCCGTGGCAAAACGGCGCGATAAATACCAGATGGCCGGCGCGCAAGCAGCCCTGCACCAGGCGCAGCCCTGACGCCGCGGGCGAGCCGTCCACTCCACTCCTTTGCGCAAGGCGCGCCGCAGCTCAGCTCCGCAGTAAAGCAGCCCTCCTCTGGACCCCGCTGCCCTTCCACCTCTGCAAAAGGTGGGGACCCAAAGTCTCCTGCAGAAACCTCCGCTCCCAGCGTCGTCGGGGCCCTCTCCAGATACCCTTAGATCTCCCCTTGGGCATGCACCAGCGCGCTGCCCTTGCAAACGCCGCCGCCGCAGCTTTGCCAGGCACTTTGGCGCAGCCTTAGAAAATCTCCCTCGTAAATTCCCCCTCGAAGCCTGGGCTGTGCCGTCGGTTGCGCCCCTGCGCCCCTCCTCCGAAGCGCCTCGCACGTGCTGCGCCATGGAGCGCCCGCGGCTGGAGGCGCAGTGCTACCGAAACGGGGACTGCCACCCCGGACGCCTCCTCGGGGGCTTGAGCGAGCTGGCGGCTGGCAGCAACCCCTGCGAGATCCGCAAGCCGGCGGCGAAACTCACGCGCCCGCCGTCGGACAAAGGTAGCCGGGCCCGGGAAGGCGAGGAGCGGGAAGAGAGGGACGGGCTGCCTGCCCTGGAGGATGCGTACACCACCATCCTGGAGGGCCTGGGCGAGGACCCCACCCGGGAAGGGCTGCTGCTCACGCCCCGTCGGGCCGCCAAGGCCATGCAGTTCCTCACCAAGGGCTACCGCGAAACCGTCGGAGGTGAGATGCCCGCCCGCCTTTCTTTCTTTTCTCGTTTTGACAACAGCCGCCAATGGTCTGGTTGCACCTTAAAGGCTTCCTATATTTATTAAGTCGTAAGCCTTCGTGGGCTAGATCAGCTGCGTAAAAATAAGTGCCTCTCCTCGTTTCATCTTTTGAAGACCTGCTAAAATCACTTCTGTTCCGTCGGGAACAATTCAGAATACTGTACACCTTCCCACAATTTTCTGATTTTAAAAATGCAGGCAATTAAGAATTCACCTTCCCATAATGTCTTTATTTTAAAACTTTTAATGTTTTTACTGCATGGCTTTTGTTATTATTTTTATTTTATTTACAATAAAAGATATTATTTTATTGTAAAGAATATATTGCACATTTTTATTATATAGCTTTGTTGTAAACCACTCTGGTGTTTTTTAAAAAATGAATTGTGATATAAAAATATTTTAAATGAACGAATAAATATTACTATATTAGATTTCTTACCCACCTTTTGCCGTGAGGTGTTGGGGAAGATAACGGTAATTTTAAAATGCGGTATTGAAATTGGTTAAAACAAATTGCAATCCAGGGAATAGGATGGGCCCTAAAAATAATCTGCAGTGCTGCTGATTGTTGTTGTTTAGTCATTTAGTCATGTCTGACTCTTTGTGACCCCATGGACCAGAGCACGCCAGGCACTCCTGTCTTCTACTGCCTCCCGCAGTTTGGTCAAACTCATGTTGGTAGCTTCAAGAACACTGTCCAACCATCTCGTCCTCTGTCGTCCCCTTCTCCTTGTGCCCTCCATCTTTCCCAACATCAGGGTCATTTCCAGGGAGTCTTCTCTTCTCATGAGGTGACCAAAGTATTGGAGCCTCAGCTTCACGATCTGTCCTTCCAGTGAGTACTCAGGGCTGATTTCCTTAAGAATGGAGAGGTTTGATCTTCTTGCAGTCCATGGGACTTTCAAGAGTCTCCTCCAGCACCATAATTCAAAAGCATCAATTCTTCGGTGATCAGCCTTCTTTATGGTCCAGCTCTCACTTCCATACATCACTGCTGGGGAAACCATAGCTTTAACTATACGGACCTTTGTTGGCAATGTGATGTCTCTGCTAATGCTGCTGATATATTCATCAAATCATAGAATTGCAGAGTTGCAAGGGACCCCAAGATGCTGGGGTCAGCTAGCCCAACCATCTGCAATGTAGGAATATTTTGCTCAAAGTGAGGCTCGAACTCACAACCTTGAGATTAGGAGTCTCATGCTTTACCAACTGAGCTAAAGGCATTTTCTTTTGTATTGGCACTGAACAATCTGGTCATCACTTTATTAAGTATATCCAGTATTGTTCCTCCTCTTGGAAGACTGCGTCTGTGTGATCTCTTTCGCATGCCTTTCTTTCTTTTAAAAAGTGGGTCTAGTCAGCAGCAATTCTCATCCTGCCTCACCACTGATCATGCTTGGAGCTGTGGTTATTTTAAATAATAATAAAAAAAGATTTTATACATACATGAGAATAGGTAACCATAAATTGTGTGATAATAGGCCTGACCTGGAAATATTGAAATATCAGCAAGCCTGTAATGCTATACTGAGCTGCTTGGGATGGATTTTACTTATATGCTGCTTTTCTGCAGCAAACTTGTGCCCTGACTTAAAGCAAACATTCAGAGACCTCGAAATAGAGAACACTTGGAAATACAATTGTACAAAATACGGAACGTGTCAGTAAATTCACAAATAACAAAAATCAACAAAAAAAATTTGTAAACATGCACATTCTCTCTGCCGTAGCTGACACACTTCATATCTCTTTATTCTTTACTGCCAACCCTTGAGGGACATAGCAAATATACAGACTTTTGTCGTTTTCATTTCAGGGCCACATTAATCTCTGGCTATAACAATCAGCTCCTTGGTTCTTGCTGCCTGGAAGCAAGTTGATTAGCAATCCTCTTAAACCTTGTTCCAGGGTTACTGGATTATTTCTATAATGTAGCCATTCAACACTATCTGGGAATTGAGGGTGTGTGTGTATGAATGAATGAATAAGGTTTATAACTCAGTAAGCGTTGAAAGTTTACTTGCATTTGCTTTACAGCTATGTGCAACTCTGAACACACAGACACAATCCTCGTTTCAAGGGATAAGACTTGTTGTAGAACGTGGCTGAGGATCCTGAAGCAAGAGCCCTGATCCTACATGAGCATTGCACACTCCCCATACTAGTGGTTCAGTGGCATTTGGGGTACTACTTTGACTAAAATAGCTCCCATCCCCAAGGCAGAACCCCAGAATCTGAAGGCACCATGCCAGCAGACAACTAAAAATGTGACACTGGCACTTAGCAATTTCCTTGCTGAGGACCAGGTTACAGTGGTACCTTAGGTTACAAACGCTTTGGGTTACATGTTTTCAGGTTGCGGACCGCGGGAAACCCGGAAGTACCAGAAAGGGTTACTTCTGGGTTTCACCGCATGCGCAGGAGCGCCAAATCGCGTCACGCGCGTGCACAGACACAGCGTTGCAGGTTATGAACGCTACAGGTTGTGGACGTGCCTCTGTCACGGATTACATCCGCAACCTGACGTTCCACTGTACTTTAGGGACCATCTTTACCCATCTAAACCTGCCTGGGCCCTGAAGGAGGCTTTGCTCCTTCAGCTCATTCTCACTGGAAATGTGATTGGCAGGTGCAGTGGTACCTCGGGTTAAGAACTTAATTTGTTCTGGAGGTCCGTTCTTAACCTGAAACTGTTCTTAACCTGAGGTACCACTTTAGCTAATGGGGCCTCCTGCCGCCGTCGCGTTGCCGCCATGCGATTTCTGTTTTCCTCCTGAAGCAAAGTTCTTAACCTAAGGTACTATTTCTGTGTTAGTGGAGTCTTTAACCTGAAGCGTCTGTAACCTGAGGTACCACTGTACTAGGAACAGGGCCTTTTCAGTGATGGTGCCGCCGGACTAATGAAAGCCATTCCCTGGAGAAATAATCTTCTCCCACTTGTTGACAGGTTTTATTTGGGTCACGAAGAGTCGGACACGACTAAACAACAACAAAAACAAAAACTGTTTTATGCTCTTTCTAGGGCCACTGATAGCTTTTAAATGCAATTTTTAGACTCATTTTTACTGGTTTTTAATACTTTGGTTTTCATCGTTTTGATGTTTAGATCACTTTTGTGGAAATGTGGAATGAAAAGAAATTGAAATGACGGGAAGAGAGAACATTTTTACAGTTTGCTGCAGCACGCGGCTGCTAGGAATGTGAAATATTTTTCTAGGCCTGCCTATCTAGTTTGACCTAAACATTCTTGGTCTGTTACTTGTGGGGTATTTAAAATGCAGTCAAATGAACAATTCATGTTTTGCTAGATAGGCACATAATAGGAACTGAAGCTCACAGAGTTTCCCTGTAAGTTTGCTAGAAAGAACTCTGTGAGAGACACTCCCACTGTGCCCTGACAGAGGAAGGGCATAGCTATATATACTTACTTACCGGTACTTACCTGCCTGGGCACAGCCTCTCTTTTCTCTCTCTCCTTCATCTCTTCATCAGCAAGCCAGAAATGTGAGAGCAGTGGCATAGCGTGGGTTGTCAGCACCCGGGGCAAGGCAAGTAATTTGCACCCCCTAACCCGTGGATTTGCGCCCCCTAACCCGTGGATTTGCGCCCCCTAACCTGTGGATTTGCCCTAACCCCAGATGTTGCGCCCGGTGCGGCCGGCCCCCCCTGCACCCCCCACGCTACGCCACTGTGTGAGAGCATCTGCTAAGTCCAATGCCCAGGCACCATTTAAAACTAGACTAAAGCACATCTTTGTAGCTGAATTACCATTTTAAGCCGGCCTGAACAAAGCTGTTATCTCTGTTACTCTGTTCTGAGTGAGCAAATGTTATTTTTCACCTTTTACAAGACTGTGTGATTATTGTTTTAAGGGGGAGAAATGGGGAAAATACCAGGAGAATCCAGTCTGCCTTAAAGCATGCAGGATTCCTTAAGCTAAAAGGCTAAAACTAACCTATCTAGGTGTTAGGAAAACATTCTTTAAAAAACAGATAAAAGTTCCTGCAAGCTTTAAAGAGGGTTCCAGATTTTTACTTTAGGGTGTACGAGTGGCACTCCAGGCTTGATTGGTGTCAGCTGGAGGTGCAAATAAAGGGAGGAAGTTGCAGGGTGCAATTTCCACATGAGGAAAGCACACACACACACACACACACACACACACACACACACACACTGTCAGCAGGCACACTGACAACAAGGTTGGAAGTAAGACAATGTGTGCTGCTGATAACTCTGAGCTTTGCTGCCTCAGGATTGTTAATTACTGGACTGAGATTATACTGTGCTGGAGAGATAAAGAAAGAATGTAAATAGCTTGTACAGTGGTACCTCGGGTTACATACACTTCAGGTTACATACGCTTCAGGTTACAGACTCCGCTAACCCAGAAATAGTAAGGTAAAGGTAAAGGTACCCCTGCCCGTACGGGCCAGTCTTGACAGACTCTAGGGTTGTGCGCCCATCTCACTTAAGAGGCCGGGGGCCAGCGCTGTCCGAAGACACTTCCGGGTCACGTGGCCAGCGTGACAAAGCTGCATCTGGCGAGCCAGCGCAGCACACGGAAACGCCGTTTACCTTCCCGCCAGTAAGCGGTCCCTATTTATCTACTTGCACCCGGGGGTGCTTTCGAACTGCTAGGTTGGCAGGCGCTGGGACCGAGCAACGGGAGCGCACCCCGCCGCGGGGATTCGAACCGCCGACCTTTCGATTGGCAAGCCCTAGGCGCTGAGGCTTTTACCCACAGCGCCACCCTCGTCCCTTCAACCCAGAAATAGTACCTTGGGTTAAAAACTTTGCTTCAGGATGAGAACAGAAATCGTGCTCCAGCGGCGTGGCAGCAGCGGGAGACCCCATTAGCTAAAATGGTGCTTCAGGTTAAGAATAGTTTCAGGTTAAGAACGGACCTCCAGAATGAATTAAGTTCTTAACCTGAGGTAACACTGTATATAATAGTAATAGAAATGCTTGTGCAACCAGTCAAGCAATAAAGAAGCTATTGACTGTGAATTTGAGTATGACTCCTGTTCTTGTCCTCTGCCTCCGGGGAAAACTCTGCTACAAACAGTAAGAAGTGGGTTTACCGAGGTGCCACCACACAAGCAGAAAAGCGCAGCGGAAGTGTGTGGGCGATAAACTCTAATACTAAGCTCCCCTTTTAAGCTGGCAAATGGGTGGCACCCTGCTGAACTCACAAACGTGAGGAAGGAAGGATAATATCTAATAAATACATCCTCTCCTAGCATCTATCCACATCCCAGTATTACTAATTATTCTTTATTCAAGGCCAGAACTGGTAGATGGAACAAAGTGCCCTTTCCCACTATTCCATGAAAAGCTTCTGTTTCTTTTCAGACATACTCAACGATGCAGTTTTTGACGAAGACCATGACGAGATGGTGATCGTGAAGGACATTGATATGTTTTCCCTCTGCGAACATCACTTGGTACCTTTCTTCGGCAAGGTACTGGTTACCTGAAACGCTTTGTGGTCTAAACCAGTGTTGGCCCCCTGCTGGAGCGACTGGGGAAACCCAGCCACATGGGCGGGGTATAAATAATAAATTATTATTATTATTAAAATTATTATTATTATTTAGCCTGTTAGTTGCCTTCACAGTTGTGTGCTGGATTCTCCCCAGCCAAGTTGCTTGAGACGGAAGCGTCTGCTGTCCACACTGCACATTGCCCAGCCTTTGCAGACATATCCAGGAATCTGTCTTTTACATGCAAAGGGCTGAAGGCCTTGCATTTCCCCTGATGGCTGGGAAAGAGTCCTGTCTGAAATAGGACTGGAAATAGGAGCAGGAAATCTGCTCTGTGACTGAGCTTTAAATCTCTCCACCAAATTTGGCAACGTGATGCAGGCGAGCATGACTTGTGCTTGTGTCTTTGTGAGAGTGGCGTGTGCCTCTCTGTGTGTGTGTCAAAGAGAGGAGAATGTGCGCCTCGGTCCTGTATACCTGAAGGAGCGACTCCACCCCCATCGTTCAGCCCGGACACTGAGATCCAGTGCCAAGGGCCTTCTGGTGGTTCCCTCATTGTGAGAAGTGAGGTTACAGGGAACCAGGCAGAGGGCCTTATTGGTAGTGGCACCTGCCCTGTGGAACACCCTCCCTTCAGACGTGAAGGAAATAAGCAGTTATTCTATCTTTAAAAGACATCTGAAGGCAGCCCTGTTTAGGGAAGTTTTTAATATTTAATGCTGTACTATTTTTAACATTTGATTGGGAGCCGCCCAGAGTGGCTGGGGAGACTCGGCCAGATGGGCGGGGTGTAAATAATAAATAATAAATTATTATTATTATTATTATTATTATTATTATTATTATTATTATTATTATTATTATTATTATTATTATTATTATTATTATTATTATCCTGGATGTTTTGCGGCACGCATGTGTGGCGAGTATCCGTTTGTTGTGTGTGTGCATTCACGTGTATTCATTTTGCTTGTGGTGAGTGTGGATTCACAATGAGTGCGCTGCCCACACATGTAGGTTTGGTGGTCACTTGGATCACCACCCGCAAAGGCTTGGCCAGCATTGAATATGGCCTTGGTGTCCAAAAGAGTTAGTCCTTTGGCAGATAATACTGAACTGGATAGGCAAGTAGCAGCTTCCTAGATTCCTAAGAATTCTCTGTGGCTCAGAGTTCTTTGGGTGACCTTTAGTTTGCACTGTGTCAGGCAGCAGAGGAACCAACCCCCACAGCAGGCTGCCAGGAATGGACAAGACAAGGGGAAGTCCTTAGCATCTGCTTTTATTCAGTATTCACAGAGAGAGGCTTAGAAACGCATCGACTTTGAGCAATGGCGTTGCTCTGAGTCAAACCCCACCCCCTCCGTCTCTCCCATTATGCGTCATCCCTACGGTGGCTGAGCTGTGCCTTCTGCCTCTGAGCTTTCTGCTCTCCTACTTTCAATGCCTGCCAGGTTCTGGGAGGGGGGTTCTGGAATGCTTTCTAAAGACATTTGAGTGTGTCAGCTGTCCCCCCTCTGGTGCTGCTTCCTCCTCCTCTCCCATTATTTGAAGAAGAAGGGTTTGGATTTGATATTCCGCTTTATCACTACCCGAAGGAGTCTCAAAGCGGCTAACAATCTCCTTTCCCTTCCTCCCCCACAACAAACACTCTGTGAGGTGAGTGGGGCTGAGAGACTTCAGAGAAGTGTGACTGGCCCAAGGTCACCCAGCAGCTGCATGTGGAGGAGCAGGGAAGCGAACCCAGTTCACCAGATTACGAGTCTACCGCTCTTAGCCACTACACCACGCTGGCTCTTTCCCCTTATCTGCCTCTCCCTCAAACCCCTGTTGTAATTCTGAACTGTCTCCTTCTTCTCTGGAAGGATCAGGCTGGGGAGGTTGTCTGCACCATTCCTCCTCTGTCCTGTCCCTGACACACTGCTGTGTTGAACTACAAAGATGGCATATTTTTTATTTATTTTTAAAAAAACCCATTCCCTCCTCCCTGTTAGATGTGCTATCTTGCTTTTCTTTTAAGGGGATGATGCAGGGGTGTATCGCTGTCCGCCAGCACCTGGGGCGGATGCTCCTGTGCTGGGCAAGACGCAGAGGGTCTCTTCCCCCTCCGCACTCACCCAGCCCTCACTGCCAGGTGACGGGGGTCTCTGTGGGGATGCCTGTTTTGTGCCCCCCCAGCATCCTGCTCGTTATGCCACTGGGATAACGTTTGCTTCTAAGCCAGCAGTTCTCAACCTGTGAGTCCCCAGATGTTTTTGGACTACAACTCCCATCATCCCTGAGCTCTGGCCTTGCTAGCTAGGGGTGATGGGAGTTGTAGTCCAACAACATCTGGGGCCCCACAGGTTGAGAACCGCTGTATCTAAGCCAATAGCACTGAAGACTTGTGAGTTTGAATCATTGACAGAGATTTGGGGGAAGTATCCTCAATTGCCTTGGGGAAGAGGATTGTTTTGATTTTACTTGCCCTTGCCAGTCAGATCAGACAGGCCGCTGTAATGCAGACCAACAACACGAATCCCCAAATCCCTTTGAAATGAATTGTGCATTAGCAAGTTTTCAGAATCGCAGCATTAGTGACTAGAGCAGGGAGTGTGTTGGAGAAACCTATTCCCTGCAACATAACTGGTGTGTTGCGGTGGGGATAGACTCCACTTGTGAATCCAGTATTAATCATTCTCCCCTCTCCATTTGAATCTGCAGGTGCACATTGGATACTTACCGAGGAAGAAAGTGGTTGGCTTAAGCAAACTTGCAAGGTTCTTATTATACAACTTACGTTCTTGTCTGTTTTATGGAATTCACCTGTGCAACGTGTACCGATGGCTGCTGTCTCAGGTGGCTTTGTACGGGAATTAAGACAAATTTGTGGAGGAGAGGTTGTGCCAGTGGCACTTAGCCAGCATGGCCATTCAGAACCTCCAGGTTCAGTAGCAGCTTATCACTGAATAAGACTTGCTGGAGAGCAATAACAAGACAGCGTTGTCTTCAGACCATGCTTGCCCACTATGGGGAAATGGGGTGTTGCACCCAGTGGACCAACCTGCTCTCTCTGTGGTGCAACGGGCCAATGCATCCAGCTGTTAACCGGAAGGTTGGTGGTTCGAGCCCACCCAGGGACGGCTGTGGGCAGGATTCCTGCATTGCAGGGGGTTAAACTACATGACCCTTGGGATCCCTTCCAACTCGACCTTGTGTCTGATCCATCATGACTCTTCTTAGGCTTTTGAAGCATGTGTGAGTGTACAGTTGTGTGCATTTTGTGTGTATGTGAAATTAGAAGTTACACGCTATCTGGGATGTTAACACTGATAAGTGAGATGATTCGTTTATTGGCCACGGGTGCCTCCTAAGCTGCTGAGCTCAGGACCACACACATGGGAGTTATCCCTTTTCTTTTTCTTTTCTTTTTTGCAACAGTCCAGTGGTGCAGATTGAATCGGACTCTGCTGCCTCCAGATTTCTGTACTGCTCCAGATTTCTGTACTGCAGGCGGTCTGAGGACATCCACCCTCTGCTGCGGGAGGCTAGTGGCTGGGAAACACAAGTATCCAAACAAACTCCTGTGTTGCAAAGAGAATGTCAACAATGTCTAGGCAACACGATGACCATATACATACGTAATGGACAATATTTATAGAATTCCTTCAAATCACAAAAAGTTCAAAATGAAATCTTTAGTCTCAAAGTCTCTGAAAATCTTTAAATGAAGCGAGGTAGCAAACTTTGTACGCTGGAAGACGAGCTGTGAAGCTTTGTGTATTCAACGATGATGTCCAACACTGAACGGTAATTCGGATATTGACTACTGTTTCGTAGAATTCTTCATCAGCGTGGTGGGAGGATATAGAATTGCTTCATAAACCCATCTTATTTCGAATGAATGTATATAAATGAAAATATCAAATTCTGTGGAACAGTGCTCATGTAATAATGTAGTCACTGCATTATTTGAACCTTTTATGATTTTAAAGATTGTCTATTACGTATGTATATGGTCATCCCGTTGCCTAGACATTGTTGAGGGAAACACAAGTAGGCAGAGAGCTGTTGCACTCCGGGTCCTGCTGGCAGGCTTCGCAGAGGCATCTGAGAGCTGAACTAGATGGGTCTTTAACTTGATCCAGCAGGGCTTTTCTTAAGTTCCTACATATTATTGTTCTGAGGAATTCTGGGGACCGCAAATGGCAGTCTCAAGTTGGGAGAAGCTGTTGGTGCTGATGTGTTTTTACCTTGCCCCACCCTCAAGAAAAGTGATTACCTCATGTTTTTATTTGAAAGCATGAGTACAGTTGTACCTTGGAAGTCGAATGGAATCCGTTCTGGAAGTCCGTTTGACTTCCAAAACATTTGAAAACCAAATTGCGGCTTCTGATTCGCTGCAGTAAGCTCCTGCAGCCAATCAGAAGCCTCAGAAGCCCGGTTGGATCTTCAGGTTCCAAAAGAACGTTTGCAAACCGGAACAATCACTTCCGGGTTTGCGATGTTCAGGAGACAAAATGTTTGGGGCGTTCGTGATTCAAGGTACGACTGTACTCCAAAGGTAAAACCTTGACAACTGCAGCCTGAGAGTGAGTCTTGCTTGTTCCCGTTTTGCATTCTATTTGCTCATCTGTTTCTTGACACCATGCCATTTATTTTCTCACACTGTTATCTTTTCTCCCTCCAGAATCGTTGAAATATTCAGCCGAAGGCTTCAAGGTTTGTATCCCTTCTGCAATAGGGTGCAGCTCTGCCTTCTTGCTAACTCCCCTATGTTCATCTAATGCCACCCCTAGGAGTCACTCTAGGGCAAGAGTGGCTAACCTGTGGCCATCTTGACCAGGGGTTCCCAAACTTTTGTCTTCAGCTGTTTTGGACTACATTTCCCATCATCCCTGACCACTGGTCCTGCTAGGCAGGGATGATGGGAGTTGTAGTCCAACAACAGCAGAAGACACAAGTTTGGGGAAACCCTGATCTAGACCTTCTTGAACTATAACTCCCAGACTGTTGGCCGTGCTAGCTGGGGCTGTTGGGAGTTGGTGTCTGACACCACCTGGAGGGGCAGTAGCTAGGCACCCCTTCTCAGGGGCATGAATTTCCCCAAGTGTGCTGTGAGAAACAAAATTACTTTAAGAATCCTGCGGGCCTCTGGATATTGTGGAATTCCAAATCCCATCGGTCTTATTATCCAGTATAGCCAGTGGTAAGGGAGTTGTAGCCCTACAGCACCTGGAGGGCCACAGGTTCCCCATCCCCAATAACTGCCAGCAGGGCTGCTTTGCTCTCTGGTCCTCCAAATACTCCCCATATCCGCTTCATCCTGAGAGCTGGAGGGGAAAGGCAGTGGGAGGTCAGCACAGTGCGCATGCAGTGGCAGGAGCAGCAGGATGGGAAGATGGCAGCCCCGCCAGTCAAATCTTCCAAGACAGGAATGTGCAGATCAGGACAAGCTGGTCAGTCTCTGTTTGATTTGCAGCAGAGCGGCAAAGGTTTTTAATCTTCAAATGAAAAACAAAAAAAGATAGCTAGAAAAAGTCTGTCACTGGGAACTCATGTTGAGTGCGGAAAGCAAATTCCTGGGCTGAGTAGCTCCTCAGAGGAATTGTTCTCCTTAATTCTAAGTCAGAGGGGAGCGCTCAGGGCGGAGGAAGGGGGGCAGTGGGGGCAGTTTGCCCGGGGTGCCATCACTGAGGGGGGTGACATTTGGCGCGGCGCCTGCTCTCGACTCCCAAGCCTACCCCGAGCCATTGGGGGAAGGGGCGGAGCTGTGCTGCCTTGCCGGTGGCCTTCCCCCCTTCCTCCTTCGTTTTGACAGCTTAGGAGAGGTTTGGGAGTTGCGGGCGGGCGGTGCGCCATTGCCCCCCACTCCTGGACAGCTTCCTGGGGGGGGAGCTCCCCCATGCTGTCAAAAGGAAGAGGGAAGGGAGGAAGGCTGCTGGCAAAGCGGAGCGGTTCCTTCCCCTCTTGCCCAGGCAGCAGCCTGCCAGGGGTGGCTTGCTCCGCCCTCGGGTGCGCAGCTTGTGCGCCGCTCTGTGTGCCAGAGCAGCTAGCTCCACCTCTGGGAGTGCTAGTGAGTTTTGTCCTTTTCACTCAATATTTGACACACACACACATGTCAGGAGGGAGACAGTCTTTCCCCCATTTGCCTGTGAAAGCCCCTTTCCCCCCAGCTTAGCTGAAAGTTCTCTTTTGGGAATAATTGGCTCGGACCAAATTGATTCAGAAGTCAGTAAGTTCATTTATTCCAAAGTTAGCAATTTATAGTGGTACCTCTGGTTAAGAACTTAATTCGTTCCGGAGGTCCGTTCTTAACCTGAAACTTTTCTTAACCTGAGGTATCACTTTAGCTAATGGGGCCTCCCGCCGCCGCCGTGCCACCAGAGCACGATTTCTATTCTCATCCTGAGGTAAAGTTCTCAACCTGAGGTATTATTTCTGGTACTGAAGTGTCTGTAACCTGAGGTACCACTGTATTAAGGAAAAGAATGTATTCAAAAGTTAACCAAAGCATATATCCATAAAATAACAGTGAGCGTGTATTTGAAGTTGCCAACCAATAGCCTTTTTTTCTCCTCACAAAGCACCATTATTTTTCCAGTCCAGGAGCGGCTTACCAAGCAGATTGCCCTGGCAATTACAGAAGCCCTGAAGCCTGTTGGCGTGGCTGTGGTCATTGAAGCATCGTAAGTTCAGCATGCCCTGTCCAGCTTGGAACTGTTGCACCACATACACCTTCATTGCATTTTCCCCATTTCCCTCTTTTGCTGGGGCTGGTGAGTTTGCATATGATCACTATTAAAAGCACACACTATAAACAATGTAAGAAACCCAGCATGATCCTATACTCAGGAAGTGCCATTGATCTCAATATGGCTCACTCAAAGGTGAGCAATAGGATTACAATCTTGCTTAGTTGCACGTTGCTGTACACAAAACAGGTTGAATGACCAACATTCAACAGGTTGAATGACCATCATGGATGCTTTTTTATTTTTTACTTTTCAAATTTTACATTTCAAATCAAACACCTATTAAACCATACATTCATTGACTTTCCTCACTCCCCTAACAAGGTACATTTAATATATCCATCATTCCTGCGTATTTTAATATACCCATCTAATTCTGTTTTCCTATCTTGCATCTCTTCAACATATGTTATATTGTTGAATATTACTTTAATACTGCCAGCGTTTTCAGCTGTACACAATTATTTTCAAAATATTAGACGAGAATTTTCCATTCCTCTTTTAAATACCTTTTCTTCTTAGTCTCTTATTCTACTTGTTAGACCTGCTAATTCTGCATATTATATCATCTTCAGTTGTCAGTCTTCCTTTACTAAGGACTTCACTCATTTTCCATTTTGGGGCTAAAATCTGAGCCGCTGTTGTTGCATACCTAAATAACCCACCCCCCGACTCCTGGAAACCTCTGTATTAACAATTCCTAACAGAAATGCATCCGGTTTTTTGGGGAAAGTTGTTTTAAACTTTTTCTTCATCTCATTATATATCATTTCCCAATATTCTTCAGCTGTCTGTCATGTATGCTTTAGCTGAGATTCCTGCATTGTAGAGGGTTGGACTAGATGAAACTTGGGATTCCTTCCAACTCTATGATTCTACACCAGAGAGGGGGTAGGGATGTTATCTCCTGTTCATCTCCCCACTGAACTCCTATTGGTGAAGCTGCCATCTGAGCATGTGCAGCAGCTGTCCCAATGGCACACACCTCAGCATAACTGTGAAGGGGAAGTGGTTTTTATTTTCAAAGCAGGCGCAAACAGCTGTGTTTCTCAAGAAACTACAGCAGGGGTCGGCAAACTAAGGCCTGGGGGCCAGATACGGCCCACAGGGCTCGTAAATCCGGTCCACGGACCCTGTCGCCCACTCGGTCAGTCCCTGCGCTAAACCAGCACGGAGGCCTCGCCGTGCGGGAACTAACTTCTGCTGTGCTGGCACGGCTTCAAATTGGCTGCAGGAAGCTCCCGCTGCCAATCTGAAGCCGTGGACGCCTCTGGGTGGGCGGTGACACTGATGCAGTTTTGGATTAGCTGCAGGAAGCTCCTGCTGTCAATCTGAAGCCGCGGACGCCTCTGGGCGGCGCCCCTTCCTTCCCGCTGAGGCGGCCGCATATGGCCAAGAGCTGAGCGGGAGGAAGCGGCGGCAGCAGGGAGGCTGTCTCCGCCACCCAGGCCAGCGGTATGGGCTCTGTGCTCTGTGGACCTCTGGCAGAGGCAGAGGACGATGACGTCACCGCCAAAGGTGAGGCGGCAGGAGCATGAGTGGTGGTGGTGGTGGGGTCCTTACGGGAAGGGGGGTCCGGCCCCCCACAAGGTCTGAGGGACCGTGGACTGGGCCCCTCCTGAAAATGTTTGCTGACCCCTGAACTAGTCATACCTCATGTTACGTTTGCTTTAGGTTGCACATTTTCAGTACCGGAAAGGGTTACTTCCGGGTTTCGCTACTCGTGCATGTGCAGATGCGCAAAATGATGTCACGTGCATGCGCAGAAGCAGTGAATTGTGACCTGCATGTGCACAGAAGCAGGTTGCGTTCTTTTCAGGTTGCGAACAGGTCTCCGGAACGGATCCCGTTCACAACCAGAGGTACCACTATACAGGATAGGTAGGGATTGTGGCTGACTTCATGTGTAGACGGCATCGGACACCACCGATGGAAGTGCACCAGAGCCAGTGTAAACAGTGTAAAGTGTAAAACAGTGTAAAATGCGTACATAGCCATAACTGGACTGAGTTCTGAGTAGATATTTATGGGATTGCACTGTAAAGTAGCTTGGGAGGCATTGTATGTCTGTGGGCAACATTTTAAAATTCATACACACCCCTGCAGTGGTATAGCGCCATGTGATTTTGCAGCTTATGTAACTCAGCATTTATTTATTTTTTACAAAAATGTGTAGCAAGCTCTGAATTAATCTCTGCAATCTGACTGTTATTTTATTATGTGGTTCTTGACCTTCTGAGGTTGTCAGCTGCTTTGGACATCGTTCACCGTGGAAAATAAACCACAATGGCATGGGTGTTAGCGATTCCTGCTGCTAATTTGATACTAAAAATGCCTCTTTGAATGTCCCCTGGCAGGCACATGTGCATGATCATGAGGGGAGTTCAGAAGATGAGCAGCAAAACTGTTACGAGCGCCATGCTTGGAGTCCTGCGGGAAGATCCCAAAACCAGGGAGGAGTTTCTCGCCTTGATCAAGAATTAAACGACAGCAGCTTGCGGCTCTCTGTGGGTTTGGATCCCACACTCGAAACCAGTTGCCAAGACATAATTGCCTTCTGTGAGCCAGAATCTGTGCCATAAAAGAAGAGGAAGAAGAAGAAGACAAAAAAAGGTGAAAGCAAAAAAAAAAAAAAAAAAAACGAGAAGAAAATAAATAACTGCACCACAGCTTTGTTCTCGCTTCTGGGTAACACCTTAAGAGTGTCGTTAAACATTAGCTAGGCAGCACAAGCACCGAACTCCCATTTTGCAGCAAAGCAATCGGGTATCCCTGATACGGCAGCATCTTGTGACATGGTGAGCCAAGGGCCTCTTTGCACCCTGCATCTTCTAACCCTTTGAGGACAAAGCAAGCGATCCATCCTCTCCCGTGAGTTTTCATGCATCACAAGAGTCGCACATTTGAGCACATAAAATGTGAATGCAAGATAGGCTTATTTGCAAAGGTGTGTTGTGTAGGTGCATTTAGGATTGGCTGCAGTTCTCTTCATCAGTACGCTCAGTGGATGGTCCAGGGGTGGCCTGTTCTAGTGCAGGTAGGGGGAGCCTCAGGCCCAAATGTGGCCCCCTAGGTCTCGTATTTCCGGTTCTAGGAAGCCTGCCAGGCCCCTTACCCCTGGCCCTACTCCTTACTGGTCCCGCTCTGTGTCTTCCTTAGGTACTTTTGCCTTTGTGGCATGAGAGCCTCACTTAAAAAAAGAGAAAAAAGCACAAATACCACTCAAAATACATATACCTTACAAACTTTTATTGGTTTAATATTGACTGACTCGTTTTTGCTTACTCTCAGGCAGGCATAGGCAAACCCGATCCTCCAGATGTTTTGGGACTACACCTCCCATCACCCCTGACCACTGGTAATGTTAGCTAGGGATGGTGGGAGTTGTAGTCCCAAAACATCTGGAGGGCCGAGTTTGCCTATGCCTGCTCTAAGGGATCCTGGGAATGATAGTTTGGTTAGGGTGCTGAGAATTATGTTAAAAGATAACGTGTCAATCCATTCCCCCTGGGATTGTCCAGGGAACACAAATTGCTGGTTAACTAGTTCATGGTGGCAAACCTTTGCATGTTTGCTTCAGAGCCAGGGTTGTATCCTGCTAAGTCGTTGCATGGCTGGAATGATGTTTAGAGGTGCAACAGAATGTCCCCTCTCTCTCTTCCCCTTGCAACAGCCAAATCTGGCCCAGGGTTTCTGGGGGGAAGAGACATTCTATTGCACTTGTGAAAGCTATAGTTGTTCCACTTGCGCAATGACTTGGCTGAGTGCATTAGATTGTGCTACATGGGGGACAGCTGCTCCCTCCCCAATCAAGTAAAACAATAGAAATACTTAACTAATTCACCAATCACGTCGGTTCTGGCCCCCCATAACAAAAGTCCTGCCCCCCCCTCAACAAAAATACTGGTTACGCCCATGTTTGCACACGTACAATGCAGATATGTCCACAAAAGGCTTTCCAGTGCGTGATACCAAGCCAATTACTGTTGCCAGTTTTCTAACTGGGATTTGTGCCTTGGCACAAATAAAAAGGGGGTGAGGAATCTTGACTCTCGAGACGTCAATCCTGTGCACACCCACCAGGGAACAAGTCCCACTAGACACAGCAGGATTGGTTCTCAAACTTTTTTCTCCGGGCCACACTTTCAGAATAAAAATTTGCTTGCGACACACTGAATTTTTTTATTGGTAGTACATTGGAAAAAAAGAAACAGCTGCTAGCAGTGCTTGATTTATAACATAGAACACAACTAATTTTTTTAAAAAAATGATTCTATACTATACTACGCTGAAATGTTTAAATGTTTCTTTGATTGTCCTTGAGACTTCCTACCACTCTTGCCAATCCCTCCTGCCACACCGTGTGGCAGGACTCCCTTCCGAGTAAAACATACGGCATTGTGCTATTCTTGAAAACTTGTTTTAAGTGGGGATTCTTTCCATCGGTTCTCTTTAGCTAGAATTGTTGCTAAGTGTTTCATGGCCCATTATGACCGCATTTGGGGGGGCTGTGGCTTTTTATGTTATACAAAGTATTGTAAACACAATCAAATCTGTACTGTACAACAAAACTTGAGATGTGCCCTGTGATCTAGACTCTAGATTCTAGAGACTTGAGACAACACAGAAAGTGCTGGCATTTCCTGAAGAATATTCCTTTGTTATGTCATACATACTATGTATACACACAGTTCACTTAAATCAGGTGCTTAAGAGGAAAACAGGGTTGCGCTGACCTGCATGTTGTCCGAGTGGCTCTTTGTATAGTCGGACAACATCCACATTGGGAACCTGCCCATTCACACACCAGCAGCAGAAACTTTGAACTCTCTAGCAGTGTGAGGCTATCTCCTTTTCCTCTTAATCGTTTGATTTTTATATTTAGTAAGAGAAAATAGCTGCGTAAAAGTGGTGCTAAAATGTATACTAACTGAAAAAGTTGTGTTACTATTAGGTTTATTAAATGCTTTATAATGCAGAGTAATAGTTTGGCATTCCAACTCTATTATTGTACTGAAAAGATTGAAGAGTTTTATTGTACCAAAAATATTAAAAATAGCCATATTACATGCTTCATATTTAGGTTTGCATATTGTACTGTATTTCCTTGTATTTTAGTATCTGCATTACCCCTTAATGCCATGCAAGAAATTTAAGACTGAATGAATCGTAATAGTAGTTTTTTGTCCAAGTAATGTATGCTTTGGAGTCAGCACTGAGCACAAACTAACCTACCTTAATCAGTGAAGAAATCCTTGAATTGCCTTTGTAAAGAAGGGCAAAGCAACCGTGCCAAGAGCAAAGGAAAGGATGGCAAGCATATTTGCACAATTTGGACAAAAAACCTACTAGCATTGCATGGGTACAAGCAGAGAACCTGTGGCAGCCATTTTGTTTGGACCACTGGATGGAGCTACAAACTCACACAATTCACAAACTGCTTTACAATCACATTTAGCATTTTTGGCCAGCATTTATTTTTTTACAAATACATCATTTAAACTCCGGAACACTTCAATCCAGTGTTTAGGAATGTTGCCTTGCAGTTACATTTTTAAAATAAATTTATAAAAATGTACAAACTGCTTCATCAATAAACTAACATAATGGAATAACCAGTGAAATCGGTAGACAGGAAGAACCAAAATTCAACCACCAAAAGCATAAGAAAATAAAGATATTTAAACTCTTCAAAAGTAATGGGGGGGGGAACATAAGAATCTCTGGTCATAACCCCCCGCCACATAGTCTTGCCCAGATCAGCAGGGACAGGGGGTGATTTTTTTATTAAGGGGCCCGATGACTTTCTGAGACCACCAGCATGAATCCTGCTACAAAAAGTGCACTGACTATCATGTCCACCAGGCCTGCCAATTTCTCCTGCTAGGTGTTACAAGCCAGGAAGGACAAAGTTTGAGATAGCAAGTTGTGGTTCACACTGCACTTACGCACCTTGTCCATGAAATAACTGATATTCATCCAAGAAACAGTTTTGCTTCCAAGTTCCCTAATCAACATGGCATTCAGGTCAAAGTGCTTATTTTGAAAACATTTTACAAATAAGTTGCTGTTCCGGCTCCACAGAATAACTTTCACATGAGCTCTGAAACTTGTTTGCATGGATCTGGTCCAAGTCTTCTGCCATCTGAGTTCCGTCGTTTACATTTACATCTCAAGCAGAAATTAAACCAGGAACTGAAATTCCAAGGATTATTAAAGCAGAAAGATAAAATAAATATATATGCAGAAGGTGCTGAGAACCTTGAAAAAGAAAATATATTTGCCTGGCACTGAAAGTAGGTGCTAGGGCAAGCTTTCTTGGTGACTGTATACTAGAGTTGGAGTGAGACTACTGAAAAGGCCCTCTCTTCAAGCCATCACCTCTCTAACCTCAGAAGGTGGATGACTCCCAGAGAATAGCCTCTGAAGCGAACTCCAAAGTATGGGCAGGCAAGAGGGCAAGTGGTATGTCCTGCTGCCACATCTAGCCAAACCAAGGTGGCTTTTCTCCTTCAGAATCAAATCCTGGATTATTTTTGCTTCTATTCTCTACAGCATGGCAACACCAATATGCAAGGGATGTATTAACTATCAAACAGATCAAAGAATAACACACTAAGAAACAAAAATAACATACAAGAACACCCTAATACCACCCTCAACCAAGATTATATGGCAGTCACCTCTTTTTTTAAGCACAACAAAATGGAAACACTTTATATACAATTTTTCATCCATGCACAAATATTGCCCCAACGCCAATTTTGAATCATGAAGTTAAAGGCTAATTTATGCTAGGTTTCTTCATTCAACTTCAAGCTTCACCCCAACAAAACCAGATTAAAGGAAATAATGCTGGCAACGATAGCACACTTGTTATATACCAGGTTCTAAGAATGTTGGACTCACCTAGTTGAATGAAGCCAACCAACCATGTATTTTAACCTGACAGCTTCTTGAGAACATTTTGTTTTTGCACTTATAGGCAGGCAACAAAACCGGGAAGCTTACAGAGCTGGTGGTTGGCTTGGTGGGTTCCAAGTTGTGCAACATTTCATACATTTGCAAGTAAACCTACATTAAAAAACAAATTATTTTATGCCAGTTTTATTTCGGCAATCCCTCTGCTGGTAGACTTGCAATCTACAAATTCTTGTTATAGCAGTGGGGTAAAGAAAAAAGTTGATCTGCTGGCTTTTTTGAGTTTTTCCTCAAAACTAGCCTAATGAGTTGAATTGAAACATTTTTTCTATTTATACCATTAAGTGTCACTAGCAGATCACTGTTAATATCAGTAGATCAAAACGCCAAATGACAATTGTGACCATATCAAGTTGCCAACACACCAGTTTTCTTATTATAAATTTATACAGGTATGAATTGGACCATTGATCCAGGTTTACAATCAGCGCTAACAAAGTGCAACTAAAGGTCCATGCAAATTCTGACGGTGTCTGCCATCTTTTACATTTCCCCCCAACGTTGATAACTGTTTTTAAAGTAAAGCTGGTCAAGAAAAAGTTCGTAGTATATAATTAAACGGATGTTTGCTTGTAGTTTTTTGTATCCAATACTTTCTTCCCACACATTGCGCAGATGCCTAATAATGAGAAAAACAGTGAGAATGAAACATTTTCTTTTAGTCCAAAAGTACAAAAACAACTAAACAAGAGAAGAATTGATGCCAAATGTCTCACCCTTTTTGTATGCACATCCCTGGCAGTAGTGGGAGCCTGGCTGATGAACTGAACTTTTGCAAATTCGGCATACTGCAAATTTGTTTTTACCATAAGGATCAAACCTAGGAAGAAAGAAAAAAGGTAACTGAATTGCCTGTTCATGGAAAGCTTTCCTACATACTTTCATACAGTTGGGAGCAGATGAGGATGGGGGAAGGAAGACAAGAGAGAAGACAGAGTTGGCTGATAACAAAATCTTCAAAAGCCACTTCCCAGTTACAAAGCTGATCAGACACAATTCTTCACTTCAGCTTTTATCAAATGTAGACTAGTTTGCACATCAACATCTTTAAACTATGTAGGTATACTTGACATGTTTTTCAAAAAGTTTCTTACCACACCTCTTGCACAAAACAGGTAAACCTGCCCAGAATATTTTTTGCATAATTGATACTGGAAAATGGTTTGAAAGTCAAGTGCTTTGTAAATGAGATATAAAAGTCAACTGCTAATGCTGCATTTAACTTCTGCCACGCTCCAGCTGGGAGGACCATGAGGCAGAGAAGAAAAGATTGAAAACTGGTTTCAAAAAGGACACTATGGGTCTTTCCCAATCCGTCTTACATTTCTCCAGAATCTCATGGCACCTTCACCGTTCATCTGTTTCATCTCTGCTTTGACAGCTGTTCTAGCTACATTTCTGGTGCCCACAAAGAAGAAGCAATGGCAGCCATAATAGCTGGCTGCAAAGGTGGCATAAAGTAAGGTGATATGTGTATGTGTGCAGAGGGAAGGGGGGAAAGCTACAGACCCTTTTTGGACAGAAATGACTTGGCCATTGTACTCTATGCTCTGGTAACTTCAAGACTGAATTATTGCAATGTGCTCCACGTGGTGCTACCCTTGAAAATGACTTGGAAACTTCAGCTGGTCTAAAATGCAGCAGCCAGATTAGTGGCTGAGGATGCTTATAAAACTCACAAAGCCCATCTTTTAAAACAGCTGCAATGGCTGCCAGCTTGTTCCAGACTCAATTCAAGGTGCGCACGCTAGTTATTAAAGCCGTAAACAAATTAAGCCCCAAATATCTGAGAGACAACCTTCCAGACAAGATCCTCTTACCTGTTATGATCAACAAAGGAAGCCCTCTTGGTAGTTTCAGCACCCTTTGAGATTTGGGTGGTAAGGGCTGCCACAGAGAATTTCCACTCTTGGGCCACCACTAAGTCTTTGCTTTCCCTCCTCACACAGGTGCATCTGGCACCTTCACTATGCAGGTTTCAAGGAAGTCCTGAAGATGCACCTCTTTACCCAGGCCTTTGGACCCACACTATTTCTGTGACCCTAATGTGCTTTAACTGTTTTCATTCTGAATTTTAATTTCTGCAAGCTGCCCTAGGAACTGCATGTGAAGAGTGGGTAATGATGACGATGATGATGATAATAATAATAATGATAATTTAATACTTCAGTTACCTTGCCTTCTTTGATGTCAATGCCTTGTTTTCATTTAGTTTTCTCCCACCACTTTCTAAAAAGAACAAATAAGTTTATTGCTTGATATACATAATTTGCAAAACTATTATAAATTAAGACCCGTGCTCACATATCCCTTATTTTCCAAGAATACAACCCAAAAGGGGGGGGGGGATACAAGTGTTCAAGGTGCCCAGTTTTTCTATATGATGTACTATGTTTACAGAAATATGCTGCCTTTATACAGATGACTCAATCAGAACATTTCACAAATTTATTTTTGATTAGTGCTTCAGTGTTCTTTGAATAGCTGAACTAATTAAATCAATTAAAGTTTTACAGACATATTTCTTTAACTCCCAGGTTACTGGCACCAAACCCAAGATTCCTGTTGAGGTTCTCCAGGCAAACAAGGAGTTTTCCTACCCTTCTTTTGAGCCTGGAGATGGGCAGTGGGATCTCTGCCACTGGAGTTGATAAAATGAGTGAATGAGTAATATCCAATGAATGAGAAAATTGATGGAAGTTCTAAAAAGAACTTTAAAGCATCATCCAAATTCTGTGCTACTGTAAAAAACTTTCAAGTAATAAGTATGTCCCACTTGTCCACTTTTCTCCATTTCCTACTGCCTATATAACTGCTTTTTTCACTACCCCCTTCTCTCTCTTTCCTAAGGCTCACCACAAAACCAGTTGTCTCTCCCAAGCCCTACTCCTTATCTCAGTTTGTAAGCACACTCTTGCACTGCTCTTGGCAGCCGTATGGGCCATCTCTCCCGGCCCAAAGAGCCCAAACAAGCAGTATATATCGGAAAGGAGTCTGCAGTGCTCACAGAGGCGTGGGGTGTGTGAGTGAATGAGGGAGGCATTTCCCCCCCCCCCTATTTGTTACCCTGCCTAAGGAAATTGCTACTGGCATCAAAATAACAGATCTGTAGCAAATTGAATCTCTGGACCATAACATAAATGAGACAAACGCTTGCATATAAGCATCTGAAATAAGATTGCAAAAAATAATGCACCTTGAAGGTAACCTACTCACATTTCAAGGTTTGCTTATCAATAAATGTTAGAAAGAATATCTACTGAAGTGATTAGATAGTATTTAGAAATACCTGTGGTGTTTCTTGCACCATCTTTCCATGTATCAGGTGTAATTACAGTACCAAGTTTTCTCTCACCTATGGAAAAACAGAAATGCAAAGGCTGTGATATTCCAATCTATGCTTTGGAAGTCTTTTGAGAACACACCACATATTTCATTAGGCCCACCTTCAAATCAGTTCAACTATTTGAACATGGGTAATACAGTATAGGTCATTCTATTAAAGGTAAAGGTACCCCTGCCCGTACGGGCCAGTCTTGCCAGACTCTGGGGTTGTGCGCCCATCTCACTCAAGAGGCCGGGGGCCAGCGCTGTCCGGAGACACTTCCGGGTCACGTGGCCAGCGTGACATCGCTGCTCTGGCGAGCCAGAGCCGCACACGGAAACGCCGTTTACCTTCCCGCTAGAAAGTGGTCCCTATTTATCTACTTGCACCCGGGGGTGCTTTCAAACTGCTAGGTTGGCAGGCGCTGGGACCGAGCAACGGGAGCGCACCCCGCCGCGGGGATTCGAACCGCCGACCTTTCGATCGGCAAGCCCTAGGCGCTGAGGCTTTTACCCACAGCGCCACCCGCGTCCCACAGCGCCACCCGCATCCCGGTCATTCTATTAATCCACTACTATTACTAATCCCTTTGAAAAGTAGACATCCATAGCTGATAAACAAAGCTCATGCAGGCCTACCAGGCTGAGTGGTCATCATCAACGAACATACAAAGGACCCTTCCAGATCCAAACAAAGACCAACTAGTTCAGCACTCTATTTCCCATGGAAGTGGGATATGAAAACAAGAGCCCTGTCCCACTGCTGTGCCCCAGCAACTGGTATTCAGAGGCATACCTCATTGTTAGTAACCACTGATAGCTTTAACCTTTCATGTTAGATGTCAATGCACCCAGCCTGCCTAATAAATGAACAATGAATTCTCAGAACACCAATAGCATGATGCACCTCATCATGATTTCACAGTTAACTCCTACCCCACCCCTACGCTTTTACTGAATAGAAGTTGGAGGCACACCTCACTCAAAATGTTTTGCTTCAGTGTGTAAATGAGTTAAGAAACCACTTGGCCATCAGAAGCCAATCCACTTGTGGTTCTGCATGAGTTACTGATGCAGAGGGCCAAGTAGGTTGGCCCCTGTAAATAAATGGGATACTGTAGCAGGCAAGCCTTAGGGCAATGGTGTCCAAACTTTCTTCAAAGAGGGCCTGATTTGATGAAGTGAAGGGCCCTGAGGACCGACCAAAGTTGCTGACCTTTCTTTAGGATTTGTTAACCTGCCACAGGGGCCGGATTAAACCGACCGGCGGGCCGGATTAGGCCCCCGAAACGGACTTTGGACATGCCTGCCTTCGGACCTGATCCAGCAGGGCTCTAACTTAAGTTTGGAAGGGAGGCAAAGCCAGAACAGTGACTTATACTGAGACACCTCCTCCTCCTCTGTAGGGCGATGCCTTGAGGGGGGGGGGGGCACACAAGACTCCAGAACTGCCTCCTTATACCATCTCTCTGAGAAGCGTCGCTCTATGGGTCTCTCGCTCGGAGGCTCCGCCGTTCAAAACAACGGCCGTTCAAAACGTCGCCCCCGTGACGTCACATTCTCCGCTAACCGCCGCCCCACCGTTCCTTCAGCCCCCTCCCCGAGCAAACTCACACTTCTCGCACACCATGGCGAACCACCCGCGACGAAGCCTGCGGAACAGAAGCGCCGTCCCCGTCAGCTGCCACCAAAACAAACCGAGTCGGGTCCTTTCAACTTCCGGCAGTCGCCTCAGCGTCGGCACTTCCTCTTCCGGGTCCAACCGCCGCTCTCTCCCATTTCCTCCCTCCCTTTCGCACGCCTATTGGTCGAGATGGATGAAAAGGGGGGCGGGCCGCTTGTTGTGACGCCACAGAGAACACGACGGGAGGCGCTTGGCGCTGCCGGCTGGAGGAGGATGGAGCCCGTTTCCTGGTGACGGAGGGCCGTCTTTGCGAAGCCCCGCCCACTGGCTCCTTTGGGGGGACGGCCAGGTAAGGCGGACGCAGGTGACGACCCCACCCCGGCTCCTCTCCTCCGAAACCCAGTTCCCTGTCTCCGGGGTTGTGGACGGCGACGAGCCCCCTTCGCCTCTTCTACGCAGTTCCCTCCCTAGAGGACAGACGTGGGCGAGCTCAAGGCTTGCAGGACCGGCTTTGCTTCCCTTCCTGCTAGAACCCCAAGGTCTGCCAATGGGAAACACGGGATTTGGGAGCCGTGTCTTGGGATGAACCTGCATGCACAGGTCCAGGTACGTCATGCACCCTGAGCCGCCACAGGGGCAAGATTCCGATTCTAAAAACCAGCCAGAGACGCAAAGCCAGCCAAGTAGGAGAGTCGTGTTTTGTTTTCTATGGACAACTTTTCTACTGACATCAAAATTCAGTTGTAAGATTTGACGATCTAACTGCAAATCTCCCATGGATCCGCCAGTAGGTTCTCATTAAGGTCGGCCCAGGCTTGCCCAAGAACACACCCAGTTACTTCCCTTCGGTTGTATGTGCAGGGGAGGGTGGAGTGAAGGAAGGAACTGCCAGGAAGGCTGGCGTCTCCTTGTTTGTTCCTCTGCCGTGTTGGAAAACCCTTGATAAGTTTCCGAAAGGAACCCCTGGTAGTGCAGGTGAGTTTTTGTAAGGGGAGTATTATGGTTATGATTTATTGAATTTATATACTGCCCTACACCCAGAGGTCTTGGGGCAGTTCACAGAACAAAATCAAAATATAAAGCCACAAAATATATAATCAAAATAAAAACAACAAGCCCCCATTGGCACACTCAAAACATTCAATGCGAAGCCAGGGCATAATGATGCTTAACACATGCATACACATAGCCTGCACCAGTGACTTGCATCCTCCTCAGAGCAAGCTACTCTATTGTGACTCTGCATCCGAAGTGGTTGTCTGCTCCGATCCTGCCCAAGGCAAAGGTGCGTTGGAATTAATCCACCCCAAAACATAGGGTGGTCAGAGATGGGTTGAGTCCCTGTTCTGGCAGCTACTCTTTAACAGGTGGATGTTTAGGGTCTGAGAAGCAGTAGTGACCTATCATTTCGAACCATTATGATCTTTTTCATGTGAATCAGCTTAACTGGGACCACAGAGCCAATTTTCCTTTGTGGCACCCATAGCCCTTTGTGATTATTATTCTTCCTCATCCTGCATGTAGTTTCTCTTATTCTACCTAGCCCTTCCTTCACCTTGCATGGTACTCATCTACTGTTACTGCTACTGTCGCTATCTCCAGGACTCTTGTGTGAACCTAAATCTGAGCTAAAGGTGCCTGTAGAAATGCCTATAGATTTAGGGGCAACCTTGATAAGATGCAACATTTTCGGTGCCATGTTTAATGCAAAAAGAGAATTTCTGTTTGTTTGTACAAGAATATAAGTACCTTAATTTGCTTCTCAACAGGTGGAAATTGAAGACAGGACTAAAGGCACCATGAAAGAAACTGAAATAAAAAGACTGCTGTCTGCCAATGTTATCTGTATATTCTCCATTATTGTAGCAACTGTCATTCCTTCTCTGTTTTTGGAAAACTTCTCAATCTTGGGAACACACCTGACTTGGTTATGCATCTGTTCAGCAAGTGTCGGCACTGTAAATATAGTCTTATATTTCATTCTTAAACCAAATCCATCTAATAGAAGAACTTCACTTGCCCATAAGGTAAGTTTTAATCTTGGTAAAACATAATGTTTGGAATGTCGTATAATAGTAACACTTAGTACCTTTCACATCTTTTAAATATGCATCTCATACATTTTTTTTTGCAGTCCTTCAGACAGTCCAGTAAGGTATGCCAGATGGGAGAGTAGAGCTTTAGTGCCAGCTACCTGATAAGTTCATGGCTGAGATCAGATTTTGAACTGAGTACTTCTGGGGAATCTTTTTGGCTTTGCAAGCCTAAGCTCATGGGCCAAATTTGACAGACGGACAGACATCAGGTGATTGGGCACTTTGAAGTCCCAAAGTTAGGACTCTGACAAGGTTAGGACAACACAAGGCTCTTTGCTTCATGGTCCTAATCTCAGGTCTAGGACTACAGTGATAATATTTGACATTTTTTACTCCCGTGTTGCATTCTTTGACTTTTCAGTTATCAAAAAGGTTATAGATCTAAGGCGGGCATAGGCAAACTCTGCCCTCTAGATGTTTTGGGACTACAACTCCCATCATCCCTAGCTAACAGGAGCAGTGGTCAGGGATGATGGGAATTGTAGTCCCCAAACATCTGGAGGGCCGAGTTTGCCTATGCCTGATCTCAGGCTAGGACCATTCCCTATTTGAACTCAATAATTTCCATTCTCCCCTATGTGATTTTTGCTGATGAGTGTTCCATTTGACTTCACTGGCACATGCCTGTTTGCAAAATGAACAAAAGTAGTTCCTGTGCATCTTCATAGAATTCATAGAATCATACAGTTGGAACAGATCCCAAAGTGACATCTAGTCCAACCCCCTGCAATGCAGGAATCTTAACTAAAGCATCCATGACAGATGGTCATCCTATCTCTGCTTAAAAAACCTCCAAGGAAGGAGAGTCCACAACCTCCCGAGGGAATCTGTTCTACTGTTGAACAGCTTTTACTGTTAGAAAGTTCTTCCTGATGTTGAGTCGGGATCTCCTTTCATGTAGCTTGAATCCATTGGTTTGTGTCCTACTTTCCAGAGCAGAAGAACCATAAGCTTGCTCCATCTTTCATGTGGCAGCCCTTTCAATATCTGAAGGTGACTCTCATGTCTCCTCTCAGGCTCCTCTTTTCCAGGCGAAACATACCCAACTCCCTCAACTGTTCCTCATAAGGCTTGGTTTCCAGACCCTTGATAATCTTGGTCGCTCTCCTCTGAACATGTTTCGGCTTGTCAGTATCATTCTTAAATTGTGGTGCCCAGAAAGGGTTCTAATCTAACTAAGTTCTAGTCAGGCAAGACCCACTGAAATTAATGGACATGACTAGCAGGACCTGTTGGGAGTTATTGAACCTAAGTTAGTCACACCCATTAATTCCAGTCGATCTAACCTGAGCAGAACTTGGCTGAATGCAGCCAGATGTCAATAATACTACAAGGCTTTTTGTCTAACTATTTTAATCAGGCTTAAGCACATGCAGCTGAAACAGCTGGGTATTGTTTGCTCCAGCTTCTCTCTCCTCTGTTGTTGTGCCCTGTGTCAAATTTTAGATTGTAAACTTCTTGGGGCAGGGACCTGTCCTCCCCTGCTTGTATAAAGTGTCATGTGTGCCATTGGCACTATATAAATAATTTTTTTCTTTCTTTCTTTCAAAGGTGGCAAGGTTTCTAAGATGCTGTGTATACTTCTTCATGTCTTGCATCCTATTTCATGGAATAATTGTTCTTTATGGAGCACCGCTGATAGAGTAAGTTGCTTTATATAAAACACACACATCATAAATCACAAAGCCAACAAAGGGTGTTCATCAGTATGCGGATGATACCCAGCTCTACCTCTCTTTCAAATCAGAACCAGTGAAGGCGGTGAAGGTCCTATGTGAGTGCCTGGAGGCGGTTGGATGGTGGCTAACAGATTGAGGTTGAATCCTGACAAGACAGAAGTACTGTTCTTGGGGGACAGGAGGCAGGCAGGTGTGGAGGATTCCCTGGTCCTGAATGGGGTAACTGTGCCCCTGAAGGACCAGGTGCGCAGCCTGGGAGTCATTTTGGACTCGCAGCTGTCCATGGAGGCACAGGTCAAATCTGTGTCCAGGGCAGCTGTTTACCAGCTCCATCTGGTACGCAGGCTGAGACCCTATCTGCCTGCGGACTGTCTTGCCAGAGTGGTGCATGCTCTGGTTATCTCCCGCTTGGACAACTGCAATGCGCTCTACGTGGGGCTACCTTTGAAGGTGACCCGGAAACAACAACTAATCCAGAACGCGGCAGCTAGACTGGTGACTGGGAGCGGCCGCCGAGACCACATAACACCGGTCTTAAAAGACCTACATTGTCTCCCAGTACGTTTCCGAGCACAGTTCAAAGTATTGGTGCTGACCTTTAAAGCCCTAAACTGCCTCGGCCCAGTATACCTGAAGGAGCGTCTCCACCCCCATGGTTCTGCCCGTACACTGAGGTCCAGCGCCGAGGGCCTTCTGGTGGTTCCCTCATTGCAAGAAGCAAAGCTACAGGGAACCAGGCAGAGGGCCTTCTCAGTAGTAGCGCCCACCCTGTGGAACGCCCTCCCATCAGATGTCAAAGCGATCAACCTGACATTCAGAAGACATCTTAAGTTCAGGGAAGTTTTTAATGTGTGATTTTAATGTATTTTTGGTTTCTGTGGAAGTCGCCCAGAGTGGCTGGGGAAACCCAGCCAGATGGGCGGGGTACAAATAATAAATTATTATTATTATTATTATTATTATTATTATTATTATTATTATCATCATTATTATTATTATTTATTAGCGTTTGGGACTTCTTAGTTTTGGAAATAGGGGAGTAAGAGGCAGCACTATGTTCCATCTCCACTGGCAGAAGCAATATGCTTCTGAATACAAGTTGCTGGAAACTGAAGGAGAGCAGAATACTCTTGTGCTGAGATCTTCTCATTGACCAGTGTGGGAACAGGATGCTGGACTAGGTGGATCCTTGGCCTGATCCAGCACGGCTGTTCTTATGAGTGGGTGACGATGCCTCTTGCTTGTATGGATGAATGAATGTGTGTGTGTTTGTCTATAGTCTCCTGTGTAAAAGTAAAAGAAACACTTGTTACTCTGTCTGCTTTTGGCTCTGGACCCAATCACTACTC